TTAGGAAACTTAATTTTCTGGTCCAAGTCTCCCTTGCTGAAGTTTAAGTTCACTTTTCCTTGTCCTGCCTGTGGTGGAAAGACTATTCCCTGCCGATCAGCAACAGCATGTTTGAGGGCTGCAGACCTCTTTCTAAATCTTCTGTTTTCCTTTCTGGTCTTAGTGAGCATTGCCCATTTGTACAGTCTTTTCTTATTGGTAGTGTTATTTAGACACTCCTACTCCCCTGGACCATTGCTTTCCTTTGACTACTGAAATATATCAAGTGCTTTTGTTTTGGTGTGCTGGTAGATGCCAAATACAGGTCTCTAGCACAGCTGTGGTGCTCCCAGTGTCTTATGGATAACACTTACTTGAGTGAATCGAGGTCTTCCACACATTTTCACCACGTGTGTTATCATCTGTGCATGTTAAATTAGAAACTGTCACCCTTAGGTCTTTCTGCAGAGCTTCTGCTGGCTAGGAACACCAAGAGCTACAGCAGTAAAATGGCTTGAGCAGTTCCCTCCAGATCAGAGGCAGGCATGGGGGCAGGCAAAAGGAGGTTGGTTTTCGAGAACTGTGTGATAAGCAGGGAAAGAACAGAATGTGGGAAAGCAAGTTGTCAAGGGTTCACAGGGAAGCCCTCATCACAGCTGCAGTCAGTTCCCAAACCACTTTACTGCATTCCAGCCCATTCTGGAGTTTTCTCTGTTTGCTCCAGACAAACCAAAGCAGTTAATCTAGCAGTCACAGCCTTAAAGAGGTCCACGAGGTGGTGAAGGTCATACAATATCAAATTCAGATACATACTGAGAGTCCTCCATGAATGTTATTCTGCCATGCCAGAGCATGGTACAGAAGTGAAACCAGCAAAGCAAACACTCTGTAAGGTGCTGTAAGGGTGTGCCAGGCTCACTCACAGTCTCCACAGCACTGTGACACATCTGGGCTGAGCACAGCCCCTTCCCCCTCTTACTGACACAGCGATGGGTTAGGGGGCTGCAGTGCTGCATTCAGAGAGGTCACAGCCCAGTGTGGTGACAGCATCAATGCGGGGTCAGAGAACAGGAAGGATGACTGATGCAAGCAAGGGTGGCAGGGTGGGGAATGAGAAAACAGAGCCTGGAAAGCTCTGAGCATATTACGCTCTCTTGTTACCAGTATTCATTTACATTGAGAAGGCAGCTTTTTTTTCTGATCATCCACAGCACAAAGCATATTTTCAGACTATTTGGAGTGGTCCAGTCAGTAAGATGTTCTCATTGAAAGCTATATTGCTTGGAAATGAGAAAGTCTGTGTTTGAAGAAAGCCACATTTTGTTTTTGTCTTGATGTCCTATTGTTTGCTCAGTGCCATGTGCCCAGCATCCATGCCTGGAAGGAAGGTGCACTCTGGTGAAGAGTGGCACAAGGCTGTCATCCTGGCTGCAGAGAAACAAAAGCTCCAGGAGGCACTGCTGTCAGGAGCAGAGGGGACATGGAGCCTCGCAGCTGTCACCCTCCAAGTGAAGCTTCCTATTCACTCACCTCCTGCCACCCATGCTCATCGGGGCTCCAGATGTTCCCCCCTCCCTCTACTTGTCACTCATGAGCCCCCAGGGATGTTAATGCCACACCCTCTCCCCTGCAGCATGAACAAGAAGCTCTGTTCTGAACTTGATTTAGTAGGAAGCCTCACAGCAATAATTAAAAAATATTCAGAATTTGGTTGGGGTTTAGTTGTCTGTCTTGTTGTGGGTCTGCAGCAATGAGCCAGGTCCCATGCTCCCAGCATAATTATTTATGAATGTTCCACAGAGACCAGCTCCTGTCAAGAAGTGATTAAGCCAAATGCTCGCTGGCTGCACCACTTGGCTGTTGTGGCAGTCATCCTCACTGATCACTGGCAGAGCAGGATACTGTCCTTATTAAAATCGACTTCCTAATTGCCTCCTCTGGGAAGGAAAGAGTTCCAAATCCTCATCTGCTTGGAAAGCAGTGGTTCCAAAATCCCTGTTTATATCTCTATAAAAATACATGCATAGGTGTTCACATGACTAGTTAATGCATGCACACTGGCATGTGCACACAGGCATCTGAGAAAGGTGATAATGACATCTTGAGATCTCCTGTATTGTATGAGGCAGTGGGCAGCTGATATGGTGGTAGGTGGATTTCAGCCAGCATCACAGGGATGACAGCTCAGTACAGCTGTGCACCTGGGTCCCTTCACACTGGCCCTGATGGATAGTTCATGTCTTGCTGCTCCCTTTGTTGCACCACAGAGTCATAGACCTTCTCCCAGTTTGTGGTCCCACAGGCCAGCAGCAAGGAGAGAGGAGAGAGGCTTATCATTCTGTATTTAAAATATTTTGTAGTACTTGCACTCTAAAAAAATCAGGAGTACAGCTTACCCCATCTCTCAGAGCACTGCTATCAGCACTTGGTCCACTGACTCATATTTCTGCAGAGTGCCAAGACAGGTGAGTGGTGTGGCCACCTTAAACCTACATCTCCCATATACCCTAGTCATATACCCTAGACACCTGATGTAGTGGGATCAGTGCCCTGATGAGGATATGAGAGGATAAGGATGGATGAGGAGACACTGACCAAGTGACTTGTCTTCTGCTGTGCACTAAGTGCTAACACCAGAAGTTTCAGTATGTGATGGGGATGTGTTTTCTCATATGAACTGTAGATTTTTTTTCCCTGACAGGTCTCTCCTGTTCAGGACTCTATGCAGCTCCCATTCTGATGGCTGCATGCCACTTCTCCTCTGCTACTAAAAAGAAATTAGGCTAAAAAGAAATAGGAGGAAGGTCACCACAGCCATTTCCTGTCTCCCAAATATCTGTTCTTCCACAAATACTAGTTGACTGAAATGGTGGGCATCCACATCCTGTGTTAAGTAACTTATTCCAGCACTTGAGTACATTTTGCTGAAGAACTTAATTGAACCTGCCTTTTGCTAGTTTTATTTAGTGGCCCCCCACTATTGGAGGAGAAAGTCAAAACCTTCTTCTTCTTCTCCATGGTCACATCACTTATGACTTCACAGACCTTTAGGATCTCCCCTCTGCATTTTCTCTTTTACAAGAAAAAGAGTCCCAGAAACATTTATCAATATTAAGTTTTATCTGCCTTTTTATTGCCTGTTCCCCTTGCAATTCCTTGCACTTGGTTTTGATTTTATTACACCTATTAATTCATTTTCCTACAGTTATTAACTTGAACTTTCACAGACGAAGAACGGGTATATCCTGGAGCCATGGCTCATGTACATCACAAGTGAGAGTCCTTCTGCTGTGGTGGAAGGGCTCTTCAAAGCAGGCAGCCTTGGATCTGATTTATGATGTCTCCAAGGAGAGTTTAATTTGTAACTCCTGAACAGAAATTCCTAAAGATTTCAGAAGCAGTTAGCCCCATTCTGCTGGCTGAGCTTCATACCTTGAAACGGAGAGAACCACTCCTGGTAGTCGATGGCTTTGGGAGAGGTGCCGGGCACTAACTGATGCAACTGGATATATGTTCTACTCTGCTACAGTGCAAGGACAGAGCTTGGTGAGACATGCAGTGTTTGTTTTAACCCAGTTTTCAGAGGGAAGCTTGCTGTTTTGCCACTAGTCTGTGGTTTTTAAAAGCCTTAAAACACTGGTAGCAAAGGGCAGCTGTCCATGGGTTAGAAACAAAAAGAACTTCTTTTGACCTGCAATGAAATCCTCTCTTCCTAGTTTCACAGCATCATGTGCCACCAGAGCGAAAGGATTTGTAAAAGCCTATAAATAAAACATTTACCAAAAAAATGGGGCAGCTGTAGTTCCACAATCATCTGCTTTTCTCTGCCATAGACACAATCCTTACGCCCAAAAGAGGGGTGAGGTGAATGAGGTAAATGCTGAGCTGTGAATTCCTGAGCCACCCAGCCTGTTACTAATTACCATGATTAAATATTGACACAGTGACTGCACACAGGGCTCCCAGGCAGAGATCAGTACTCCTCTGTGGTGGCAGCAGAGAAACCCAGACAAAGAAATAGCTCCCCAAGCACTTATACTGCAAGACCCCATACTACAATTATCATCCCCTGGGGACTGGCAGCATGTGTGGCAGCTTGCAGAGCTCTAGCAAGAGGCAGGTGGGGGTCGGGAGGTTTCTGACCCCAAATCATTGCCTTTGGGACTCCCTTTGCTGCAGTCTCCAGCAGCTGGGTAGGGCAAGCAGGATGAGACAGCACAGAGGGATCTTCTTCCCTGCAGCAAACACAGACTGTTACTCAGAAGAACAATAGGGCCCTCCCGCTCTGGCTGCCAACCCCAGGGCATTCTTAGGGAAACTCCCAGACTGACCTCCCAGTCTCGCTTGGCTGCCTCTCTGTATGCCTGTCCAGGCTGGCAAGCCTGGTAATTGCATCTTCCCCAAACATTTCCTCAAGAATCTTGTGCTCTGTCCTTTCTTAGGCAGCACAAAAGCTTGTGAACCTGCACTTGAGATTGCTCCTATTCAGGAAAATGTCTAATTATATGTATAAGAGTGTCCTGCACAGGGATGGACAAACACACCCAAAACAGGAAGATTTTGCCCTAGAGACACTTAGTGCTAGAATACAGAAGCCTAGGGAGGCCATAACTCCTTCTTCTCTCTTATCCTCTTCCCCAACACTTCTGGCTAACATGCTGGGCTGTGTGCCAGGGGAGCAGATGTACTACAGCATGGTTTTTACTCCCGTATCATAGCCATCTCTAGCACTGATTTTGACCATGGTCATTTTTTAATACAGCAGCTGACTTGGCCACCAGCGAAAAATAAAATATGATCCCTTGCAATTGCAAACTGCCCAAAGCCATCCGAGCTCCTTCTCCTCTGGGAACAAGAAGCAGTATCTGAGAAGCTCCTCTGTATCCAGTGCATCTACTTGCCCAAACTCCATTCCTTCTTCATTAGATTTTCCCTATTCATTTCTTCAAATTATACTGGGCAGCTGCAGAAGGCAGGATGAATTTATGCCAGGTTAGTACTTGTAAAGCAGCAGAATATTAAGTTTTTCAGCTTGACTCTGCTCCAGTGCTAAGGTTTTTAGTGAAACCTTACCACTGGAGCAGGATCAAGCTGAAAAACTGCCTGTTGCTGCCTGTTGCTTGTGTTAAGAAAAATCACTTCCAAGTCTGAAGGTCTAAGGAGCATTTTCTTTGTAGTTGAGGTTTCTTATCCTGATGCCAGACAGAAAAGTATATTTTATTTCAAAGGCGATGATGGCACAGGTAGCTTTTGAGATTATACTTGCAGAGAAGCAACTAAGACACAGTTTGTATATTGATACAAAATGTTGCAGGGCACCAGTTTCTCCATTCCCTGGTTTCACACTGAAGCATCCAACAACTTTGCCCCTGTAGGGTGAAGGGCTGCAGCTGCTGCAGCTGCTGTGAGGCTGGTTGGGACCACCCTGGCTCCGAAGTTCCTCCTTGCTCTCCCAGCAGCAGTGAGGATGGGGGGAAAGAGGGAGGAAGTTATGCTGCAGCTTCTTTCTCCATGGAGTGTCAGAGGCTCCAAAGACAGGTGGTGGCAAGGGTCCAGAGAAGGGACTAAGGTACTCGCTTAGTGGTGGTTGCTTATCCCCTTTCAATGTACCTTCTGCTGAGGATAGCTCATGTTCAGAGCCAATGGCAGCCCTGAAAAGCACTTACAGAACCTATTTATTTGGGATGGGGAGAGGAAGAGGAGAAGACAGGACACAATGTATTTATTATCCATCCCAGACATAAACAACAAGCTGTTAATTACCAGACTGTAGCACATACAATTGCAGCATACACGGTTTATACTGGAAATTGTTGTTTAAAGAAAATACCAAGGATGGTATTCCTTTGGCTTCTGGTTTGCCTGTACTGAGCATGTTGCTTGGTACTTTAATACAAGCCTGGTACATTTCCAGTTAACCAGACCTTAGCTGGGAAGAAGTCTGAGCCATCCCCCCGGTTTGCTGATGGGCTGGGAGAGGGGTCAGGGAAGCTTGATTTTGTTCCACTCCACCTCAGACCTTTCCCCTGTCTTCAGGGAATATGCTGGGACTGAGGGGGTCATTCTAACCCAGGTGTAGGTCCCACATATCTGGCCTGATTTAATTGTTTTTTAGCACCTGAGAGCTACCCAGTGTCCAGCAGTAGAAGTGCTTATCCAGTGGGAATGAAGGGAAGGGTGGGAATTTGTAGAGAAGGAAACACACTTTGTCCTGATTTCTCCAGGTACTTTTGTAACCTTGAGATGTGTGAAAGAAGCTTCAGTTCTGTTCTTCCACTTTTGATGATATTTTAATAGTTGTTAATTAACACAGTTGTGCATTCAAAGACTTGAGCACTCGTGGTTTAGGTGTAACTTCAACCAGCACTTGAGGACTGGCATGAACATCGTGGTCCATAGACAAACAGCTGTAAAGCATGTACACAAGAAGTGACACACCACCATCTCAGGCAGTCGTTTGACTCACATTGCTTTTAGCTGTAGCTTCTTTGCTTGCTATTCCTCACCTCTTAGGAATCGCCACTTTTTACTCCATCATCTGATTTGGGGCCAAAAGTGAACCAGCCTGGGTTAGAAATAACTTCATCTGTATGGAGGTTGTTTTCAACACAAATCAAGTCTTCAGTCTCTTCATTGTGTGCCCTGACAAATAGTCTCACTGACACAACCAAGAGAGCAGGGCTGGAGAGAACTGAGTGGGCAAATGCAGAATGAAGTCTCACTTGAGCAAGACCTCCTCCAGAAGTGTGTATGCCATCCAGGTGCTATTTCCTGTTCATGCTGCTACACATACAGGGGCTGCCTACTGCTCACATTCTTCAGAACCTGCGTGGGCAGTGCAGTGGTAAATGCACTCTAAATATGAGTATCAGCAACTGCTTTACATCTACTGAAGACCTGAATGTGTAATGTAGAAGGCAGTAGTTCAAGTGGTAGTCTCAAGCCTTGCTGCTGCTGGTTCCTCAGTGACTCCTCCCTAGTTCTTGTTTTTTCTAGCTCTACTTCCATTTCATACATTAAAACACGTAACAAAGAATTTTTATCCTTGTTTACGCAAATTTGTAGCCAGAACTTTAGTTATTGAAATAGCATGGACTTAAGTATAATTGGTCTGAATTTTCTGATAAAATTAATCCAGAATTTACTCCCTTCCTAAGAACAACTAAATGTGTGGTGGTAACTTATACCTCTACAAATCAAGTACTTATTGTCCACCTAAATTTTTTCAGCCTTCTTTCAAATCAGTTTGTCTCCTGCTTTCCAGAAGAGAAAACTTCAAATGCTTAAGTTCAGTCTGTAAAAGTTGTTCATGGGTTGGCATAGAGTGTGAGCCAACACAAATGTTGTCCCAGGCTGTCACTTCAAAAGCCATCAGTCCAAAAAAAATCAGAAGCTGATTTACATTAAGGCATCCATGGCACATCAGGTCTTATAAATACATTGTAGTGGAGACTTCTATAGGTTGTTAAGGGGCAGGTTTGTATTTATGGCACCCAATGAATAAAAAGAGGGAAAATTAATTTCCTGTTTTGAAACGAGTCTCAATTTTATCATAGGGAAAACTACATCACAAAGCTGACTGCAATTTAATGTACACAGCTTTCCTATTTAGCCATTAAGCAGATTATTCTCTGCTGGATGGATGTGTCTTTCCTTTTAATGTTAATGATAGTCCCACATATGCCATGACACAATACATTTCAAACTATGTGAACCATTTAATCCCTAAAGGAAAATGGAGTAAATCCTTCAGGCAATGTAGGATCTGCCAACAAAGTGATGGGAGCCTGTGAAGGGTAGAGAGAGCTTCTAGCAGAGCTGAAATGTAGGGATGTTGCTTCACCAGCTTTGGCAGCAAAGACAACTGAAGATGTTCCCATCCATCCTGTCACCATCCCTGTCCCCTTGCACTGTCAACTCTTGTCCCCTGATTTGAAGCAACTGTAAAAATGAGCTGCTAACACATCTGAGGTTTAAATCACCCCTTCAGAAGAAACCAGAAACCAGGTTGCCCTTGTTGGTCTTTAACCCAGCTCATTTCACAGTTCTGCAGACATTTGTACCAGAGGCACTGGGAGCAGCAAACAGTGGCCAGAGTCCAGGAACAAGCAATTAGGGAAGGGCTGGGGAGAAAACCTTCCATGCTGGCATAGGAGGGAGCAGGCAAGCTGAAGGGTGTGGAGTTATGCCAGGGTGCCTGCCTTGGCACACATAACATGGCTGTGCCACCTCTGCACAGGAACACTGGCTCACGGAGCTGTGGCTCACCCAGCTGATGACTCCAGCAGGGTTTGGTCAGCACATGGCTTCTCACCTGTGCCTTTGCCCAGGCTTTGAGGTGGACTGTGCAGTTCTCCTGGATTGCAGCCAGCTTATTCAAGGTCCATCCCTGTTGTCTGCCCTCTGAGGCGCTTCTAGAAGTCATAGACACATGTCAGGGCAGCATGACAGAGGACTCCATGACCCAGAAAATCCTGAAGATGAATAGAGAAGGCAACACCAAAATATCCTTTGGAGTTCTCTATGCAGCCATAAAGCAATTGTTTAGATGGACAAAAAAATCAGGAGCTGGATGAAAACCAGCTCTAAGATTCACTGATTAAGCTGAAGAGGATACTGGGGTTTTACTCTTTTCATAAACCACTGAGCTTTGTCAGTAAAATCAGCTTTAACTGTGTGTTTTCACAGATTTCACAACTTAACAAGTTTAAAAATAAAAAAACCCAGTGACATCCTCTAATATCTTGAGTGCTAACTTGCTAGGAGGTCAGAGCCACTGCAGAGGAACTAAACTGGTCCTGCCCAATCTATTCCCATGGATTGAAAATCCAGTGGGTGTCCCCAGTAACAGTCTACCTGCAGACCTGGGATACTTTAATTCACTGCACTTTGTCACAAAACATGTATTTCTTTAAGAAACAAAGAAGATTCTTGCCTTTAGAGTTGAGATACTTAGAGGTCTTTCCCAGCTTAAGTGATTCTGTAATTCTATGATTCTGTGAATTCTATGATTCTGTGATTTCTGAGGTAACCCTCATGGCATTAATGCAAGATTATATCACATGGAGTTGAAGGAATGCAGTCAATCAGAGGAGAAGCAAAGGAGGAAAATTAAACCAGACTTTTGTCTTCAAACACAGAACAGGCCATCAGATCGAATTGTTTCCTCCTCACATAGGGTTTTCTTCCAGATTAACATGGAGTCTCTCATATGGCACCAACAGGAGATGAAAGAGAAAACAGCCCCGAGGGTCCACACTGCAGATCTGACAGGTCAGCCTCTGCAAGCCCTGTTTGCCATCCCACTTTCTCTTGCCCTCCAAGACTGATGGGGACTTTGCAAGGTCCTGATATTTTGTTATGGTCAAGACAGCTCCACATTCAAGGCTGCTGCTCACTGGCTGCTGGCAGTGGCTCCTGCCCCTTCATCTGACCTGCTCTTCTGGCTGTCTGTGGTTTGGTGAACCACATCCCTGCTCACACATTCCTTGCATTGGATACCATTGGCTGTAGTAGTATAAGCAACAGCAGACAGGAGCAGGGAAGAGGACAGAGCATCTTTCAAAGGATACTTGAAAGAAATGCCCACCTTAGCTAGGAGGAGCTGTGCTGTTCATCAGAAAGGCTGTGAACTGTGACAGGTTTCGGGGGTCACAGTGGAGGTGTCAGTAGAGATGTAACTCTGAGCAAGGTTGTCCATTCAGAAGCACATACCCACCATCTCCATTGCCAGGACAGCTAATAGGAGCATCGGTTATTTCATCAGCCTTCTTCTTCTTGGAAGCTCTGTTCCTCTGCCATCACAGCTAATGAATCATTTTTATGAGATATTGGGAATGCAGATTGAGACTATTTAAGTACCAGTGCCAGAAAAGAGAGCATGCATTCTCAGAAATGACAGGTAGGTGACAGGCACTGACTGGAAGGTTTACTCTGCCAAGCAGTAGCTACAAAGGCAAAGGAGAACGGGGGTTCAGGGACATGCAAGACTGCATGAGCTGCCCATCAGATGCGCTGGCTTCAGTGGCAGTAGTCAGAAGCATGCCATTCACACCTCCTGTGTGATTTGCTTGCGTGTCTAAATGTCTGATACACAACAGCAAGCGTCAGGCCATTGCAGATGACTGAATGGCTAAACTTGGTCACTTTGCTTTGATTGTAGTAACTCTCAGCATCGTGATCCCATTAAGCAACCTGTAGTCCATGGGTAAGGCTTGCCATACAGTGTACAAACAGCCCTGTTGCAGGGCCAGTGGGAGGGAGGAGACTTTATTAGAAAGGAAAACATAACTTTTATTGTTCTGAAAGAACTGTTGGTGGTGAAACATGTACAAGTTCATGCAAATGGATGTGGTGACAGGCTGTGCCAAGGGTGCAGAGGACTTTAGCCTCTGAACTGCAGCAGCGCCTCCTTCACAGAGCAGCAAAGAGCACTGTCTGTTCAGTGTGGTGGCTGGCTGGGTGTGGAGCACTCTGGCAGCAGGATAGTGCCTAGTCATAAGGATTTGGGGTCCTGCCAATGCCCTTTTTGCAAAGGTTGAAGAAGCTGAGTGACAGGGGAAGGGGCCAGAGGTTGGCTGCAGTTCCTGGAGCAGGACCAGGTGCAGAGCACCTCACTGGGGACTGGTGAGGAGGAAGAGACGCAGGGGCTGCTGTACATTTCTTGGGTTCCACAGCGACAAGTTTTCTTCTCTCCAGAAAGACTCCAGTTATCTCCACCACTTCTTACATGTTTCTGAAGACTGTTTAGTGGTGGATCTGGCCATTTTATGTAAAAGGCTGGACTCAATGATTAATTAGAGGCCTTTTTGAACCTAATGATTCTAACCCAGAGATGGCAAGTCTATCCCCAGTTTCCCTCTTGAGCTCTTTCATGTACTGATGGACGAAAGCATGTTCCTGGGGCCTTTATTGATCTGCTGCTGCAATGCAATCTATCTTGTAGCAGGGATGCTGCATGGGCCAGTTACCTACTTGATTGCTCATCTCTGCCTGGGAGGGTTTAGGGAGTGCTGATGAGCCTTGGTTAGTGATCACATTACCAGTTCTACAGGTAGTGACCTCCCTTTTTTAGGATGACGTAACAAAAAACTGTGCATTGACAAAATCTAAAGGAATTTAGCAAGAGCCTTGCTTTGGTGATTCCCAGAAAGGTGTCTCCTGCTATCCTTCAGAACTCGAAAAACACACACTCATGTACTGGTCCTGATGTACAATTGGAGAGGTCTCAGCAAATATTTCATTATCCCACTTTATATCTGCAGCTCCTGGATTGTGCATCCATAAAACTGTCACGCCCTCAGGCTCAGATATTTTGTGATGGCAAGAAAGGGTTCATGGTCTGTGCTTTGTAATTTAGGTTTTGCATGAATAATTTTATTGCAGCCTGCTACACTGACTTCAGAAGGCTCAAAAAACAGAGCTGAATTCATCAAGGTCAAGGCATTCCCTTTCCATAGCCAGAGGCACATGGAGGAGATATGTGACCAGCACCTGGTTGACCACACTAGGCAGCTAGGCACGGACACCAAAAGGGTCACTGAAAGCTGGGTGACACATCAGCAGCCTTTGTTATGAGATTATGTGAGCTGGGCACAAACTCACATGCTCAGCTCCCAGAGCTGCCACTCCCCATCGCTGCTACATGACTCACAGGCAGCTCAAAACCTTTCCCGATAAGGGGTTTGCAGAAACAAAAAGCAATACAGTAAACAGAGAGTAATAGGATAATAAAAAAGAAAAACCTTCAAGAAGAGCCAAAATAAAAATTTCCAAACTTTTATTAACCAAACCAGACAGTGTGAAGGCATAAAAGCTGGCACTGATTTTCTGAGTGAATCGCTGTATTTCTAGCACTGTGTCCTCCTGAACGAAGACTGCAAGTCTCTGCTCTTCACTAGAGCTGAGCATATGATCCTTATGGATGCAGAGGAAAATGGAGAGCTGTGCTTGGAGGGTTTCCAGCTAAACAATAGGGCAAAGGGCAGCCATAGACCTGAGTATGCTGACCAAGAGAAAAGCTGGGGAGAAGGAGGCATATTTTGTGAACTGCACTCCCAGTTATTTAGCCTGCAGCTGTAGCTGGGGAGACGGTGAGCAGTGAATGCAAGCTCATGTCCACTCAAGGTAATTAATTTTCTAATTGCTGTGAAGTGTGATGCACATGTTAGCAATGTCCTGCAGGCACTGGTTTCAGGTCTCCCCTGACAGGGCAAAGACATGGAATTCATGGACAATGTCTATGCTGACTGGACATGGAATGACTGTCTGTGACCTGCTTGTCAGCCTCAAGTCATTTCAATGTGTCAGAGATTGGCTCCCTTACACTGCTGTTCCAACCCCAGAAGCTGAAAAAGTCCAGGAAAAAGTTAGCTCCACCTCCAGTCCTGGGCTGGGGTGGCAGGTAAAAAGAGTGGCTGCATGAAGTAGGCTGGGATTGCAAGGATCTGGGGGAGCAGAGGTAACTAACATCTGATCAGCAGATGCAGCGTGGCTGAGACCAGCATGGCACAGTGCACAAGGTGAACACTGAGAGCAGAGCAGTGTGACCAGCAGCCATACCACTGCAGCACTGGAGTGCAGATACACACACAGGCATGGCTGGGGCAGAGCTTGCTCTGCTGGGACATTGCTTCTGACTCTGTACAGTCCAGCCATGATCCCAGAAGGAATGGGTATCATTGGAGCCAAGAGGTGTAGGCACCAGCTGCCACTACCCCATGCAGCTTTGACAATGCTGGCACCCATCTTCCAGCTGCTTCTCCCCCTTGATTCAGGTTCTCCACCTGTCTGCGAAGGAAAAGCTCATCTCCAAAGCAGGATTTCCTGGCCCATGAGCTGATTCTTTTCTTCTCCAGCCTGATCCCTTCTCCAGTGTCAGCTGAAACTGCCAGAGAGAACAAGCAGGGTCTCACAGGGCAGCAGCAAACTTGCTTTTATCCTCCCTGCAAAGCTACCACCAGCTAGAGCTGCATCGAAATGTAGGCTCTGCTGACCTCTAGGGGACTGCTACAAACCCAGAAGCATAAAGGCTTCAAAGCTCTTACAGCCCTTCTTCACAGGCTCCTCCGGAGCCCTGTGGTGGGTATAACACAGCTGACAAAACCCACCCCTGGTCTCTTTAGCACTACTAGGAGCTGTAAATAAAACCCTGGCTTCAACACTGCCTCTTCCATCTCACCTTTATGGCAGCAATACCTCAAGAAATGTGTACCAGAAAGGTTAGGTTGTTGGGGAGATATTACCTGCTATCACACTGCCTCATGTAATTGCTGCTTTCCAGCATGGAGAAGAACGCTGGGAGTTTGGGAGTTTGTGGCTTTCAGTATCAGTTTGTTTAATAAAAGGTATAAAAGCCTTGCTTTGGTGTCTCAAGTACAGCACTACTTGGTGAAAGGCATAGATGCATATACCTAGGCATTGGAAATAAAGTTAAATGTGCTTTTTTATGGCATTTCATCACTTAGTAAACAAGTGACAGAAGCAAGAACCTTGCACAGAGTAGAAGAAACATGAAGAAAACATAAAATCTGATGTACCCTGTAAAACAGCCCATGGTGCTGGCCAAGGGCAGCAACAGCATTTCCCAGCTGCCTGACTGAGGACAGCTGTGGTGGAGAACAGCGCATTAGGCAGGAGCCAACAGAGGCAGCACATACTGTACCTCTGATGGACCTGCTCAGACTGTACCTGCACATACTGTACCTCTAATGGACCTGCTCTTGATACAAAGTCAAAGCCTATCACAGCCCTAGAGCATCCTAATTTCTTGATCTGGGGAAGGTGTGACATACTTTGGAGAGCTGGTATGTGGACAGACTTGAGCTGGGTGGCTGCAACACCACCTTGTAGAGCAGCTCCCCACCTCAGCAGGGCAGATGGCTGTCCCTGGGCTGAGGTCCTTGCTAACAGACAGCTGATGTCTAAATAGTTTAAATTCACTTGACCTTCTGACACAGGCAGAAGCCCATCCAGCAGACCTGAGAGGGCAGCAGGCTCCAAGCAGCTGAAAGGGTACTTGGGAACAGCACTGCTTCTGCAAGGGCAGCTGTATCTGCTGCTAGAGCCTAACTGTCCCAGCAGCTTCCACCACATGCAAAGGTCTCTCAAGAAGCTGTGGAGCCTGTGCTGTCGGGATCATGCTCCAACACAAGGGAGGCAGTCCTGGCAGGCACTCCATCAGCCACAGGAATGACTAATAGGCAGCGCCTGGGGTTCTGGGCACACCAGAGGACATGTAATTAGTGTGCTCCTACTCAGTGCTCATGCCCTAGGAAGTGCCAAAAATACAAGGCAAGTGCTAAGTTAAAGCAATTCCTCTTCCATGGGCTGAAAGACGTCAACCCACAGAGGCTCATGACAAAAGGTAACAACTGACTTGACTCTTTCAACTAAATCAGGGTGAGAAGATGTCAAAGTAGCAATTAAGAGTGAAGTATTTAAAGAAAAGAGACACATTATTTGAACAGAATAACCATTTTCATTTCAGCATTGTTACATGTCTCTTAATTAGATATCTTCCTATTCTGTGCAAAACAGAAAAGGACCTGCGAGGTCTGAAATACTGGCTCATACAAATACTACGACCAATTCCCAGCTTCTGACAGCAAATCCACTGCCTCAGACTGTGCCAAACCAAAACATCTGATGATTCTGGGTCCATCAGGGCTGGCTTTGCAATGCCCAAAGCTCAAATGACATAATTTTCACCTCCTTACACCTATAAACACTGTGTTATCCCACCATGCACCAGCAGTGCCCATGAAAGTCAAGCCTGTGCCACATGCATTGTAGCTGTGTTTTAGCCCCCTCAGATTCACAACTGAGTTGATTTTGCTCACAGAGAAAAGACACCATCAGTCATCAGAGTTTGGTAAGCTCTTTAATGGGAAGCTCATGGTGTAATGACACTGCTGGATTTGACACCTTCGTGGTGGATGAGGAAGGAGGATCAGAAGGCAGGCAGTGCTCCACTGTAGGCTTACACCTTTGAAAGTGCTGAACAAAAGGGCAACTTCTTTTGCTGACTCCTTTCACAGCTTAATAGTCCCAAAGACAGAGAAGTCTTCCAGCCAGAAAAATGGTGGAAACCACACCAAAGACAGCCTTGGCATGGCATGGCACAACATGATTTCTGCTTGGTGCGTTGAGGGCTGACTAGTCCCTGCATTAGTAAAGGAAAACTTGACAAAAGAATTGCATTGACTGAAATCCAGAGCTGACACTTTTACCACCCCTGAAGATGAAAGCTTCCTTTACATGCAGTGTTACCACAGATCTTTGCCTACACGAGCAACAGCATGTTGGTACAGAAAAGGAATTTCAAAGTTCAATGTATTTTACATGAAACCAGTAAGCTTCATTATAGTCAGCAATAACTAGTTCAAAGAAGTTTGGTTTCTTTTCTTGTAGACAAATGAAGGCCCTTTTCGTTAATCTGTATTTTTGTTTTTTATGCCCAAGCTCATACTGACAGTGTAGTGATCTGTATTTTTATTTTTTATGCCCAAGCTCATACTGACAGTGTAGTGATATGCAGCTCTGTAAAAATTGGGGTTTGCAATAATGCAGATGTGCCTTTCGGGACTGTCTTTCTCTAAAACAAAAAATAAGCAATGAGAAAAAAGTCAAACACAGATCATGTAAAAGACAATTTGACTCACTGAACTAGTAAATGTGGTTAAGTGAAGAGGTTTCCTCTGCCCACCTGCCACAGACATCAGACACCAACAGTGCAACTAAGTCTCAGAAGTTTAATAAAACCCCAAAGTGACAGGGTCTGCCCTCTAAGGACCAAATTTAAGGACTCTATTTAAATATCTGCATTGGAAGTGATGTCCCCTGAGCCTTCAGCTCCATGGTTACCCTGCAAGGATGACCTCAAGTCCAGCCTGTTACAGGATCTAGGAGTTGCTGCCCTGAGTCACTCCTGCCTGGCTCTCACATAAAGCTTTCCCAGCTGCAGCTGTCTGCAGAGACAGGCTGCTGGGGAAGAGGGGAGGTCCTGCCAGAATTAAAAACATAAAACAAAGCATTTGCCTCTGCTCAGCAATTTACAGAAAGGGGCATCCAGCTACTGCCCCTGAAGGGATCTTTCCCAGTTTCCCATGTCTTCTGGCCAAACCAAAAACAGCCAGCAGAGAAAGAGACCTCCCAGTGACCAAGGAAACCAGACAAGTCTCATTTTCTGGATTTCCAACCTGGAGAGTCTCAATGGGTTATGATTTTCATAGATTGGATTATCTGGCTAGAATAACTGGCTGTGAAAACACACTGGGTTTGCCACCTAAAATGGCTGCTGTCTTCTGCACAACCCCTGGCCGACATGGACCACTCATGGGTCCTCAAGGGATTACACATCTCCCATGCCTCATTCCCCTGTACAGAAAGGACAGTGTGACTCACACTGGGCTGAACTGCAGCTCCACTGATGCACCTGGCTGCAAGCTGTGGGAGGTAAGAGGTGTTTCTCTCCTCCTTCTTATGCTTCCTTTCTTCTGGGAGTGAGAACTTCTGAGAAGAACAGAATGGTAAGGATGGACAGGAGGGAAGTATGGACACAGGGTAAGGATGCAACCTCGCCTCCTGCCACTGCTAAAGCTAACATTGAGTAAAACAGCCACAAACATCAGCCCTGGATCCCAGACAAAGATCAAGAGAGATGCTGAAAGAGGCTGGGAATATGTCCTGAATGGCAGCTTTCCAAAACAATGACCACAATGTTATCGCAATCATTTTTACTGTCACAGTCTCATGTCCCACCTTGCAGAGGAATAAAGGGCAGGAACCTACTTAGCAATGTCGCAGCAGAAACTCCTCCCTGCTGCCCCCAGCCACCATATCATCCAGCACATCCACGGGACACAATGACAAGATGCAGCAGCTGACATGCATGTCACTGATGCAGGCAAACTATGGCTATTCCCAGAAAAAGTGGCATTCTTACAAGAATGATTCTTTCAAAGGCACAGCACTATGCATGGAGGGAAACTGCCTGCAAAAGAGCTGGGAAAAGGGCAGGAGGTGGAGCTGAAGTCTGGTAAGGTTTCAGGTCATTGTGCTCAGGGGTGGGCTATTCCCCGTTTCTGAGAGATAACAGTGTGACAATTTTTTTCTCTCATGAGCAAGTCCTTTTAAAGAGATGTTACTATGCACCTAAAAAAGGAGCTTCCTGCACCCTAACTGTTGCTCCTACCAACTCACGCAATATCATAATGCTGGAGAAGAGGAATAGGCTTTTCAGTTTGCCTTCTCTAGCCCTTCCTCCCTCAACCATCTCAATGCATTAATCAGGCGGGACACTAACAGGAAAACACAACTGAGCTCAAGGCCTTAGTGTCCAGAGGAGTTTTTTCATAAACTGCATGGGTTCAACATGCAGATACTTGTCAGGATGGCTTTGGCTGTCTCAGAAATATCAGCATCTCTCTTCTGAAGGGGCTTTGCTCACTCCTGCCCCTGCACCCTGCCCCTGCACTTGTCACAGTTCTGAAATCTGCCTTTCCATCTGCATCCCATGTATTTCTCATCACCCAAGCAGCACTTTGCTGACTTAATTCATGCAACTCATATTCAGAAGCACCAGTTCTGCAAGAGTCTCTGCTATGCTGTATTTATATTCAGTTAGAGCATGAAATGCCTATGAGAAAGGCTGAGGGAAAAGGGAAACCCTTCTGTGTCCTTTCATTACTGGTTTGCTCTGAGGATAGGCAACGATAATGCTCTGCTCACCCAGAGACCTAAAGTGCTATATACACTGCTGGACAAATAATACTAACAGTCCCTTTTAGAAAAGGCTTAAGGTGGGACTTTCAAAGGAATTACCCTGCTCCTGCTAAATTTTCCTGAGGTCTACATGCATAACTGGAGGCCTGCCCTGAATTCTCAGAGTCTGAGATCCACCTAAAGCTCAGGGCAAGGCAATGGCAGAGCTACAAACCCACATCTCACCGAGTACCCAGGTTTGCAAGTATTTTTGCTGTGTTGGTAAATCTTGTGCCTCAGTCTGGCAGCCTAATCACAGGGTGATGCTACCCCTGATTTATTACTGAATGGCTACTAACTGCAATATGTGGTAGGAGGGAGGGGAAAATAAAAAATAAATGAAATACAAAAACATGTTGTAGTACAACCAAACCAGCTCCACACTCCTGCATCATTTGGCAAGTATGGAAAAGTAACACAGTAATACAGAAATGTATTTGGTCAAAGTAAGGAATCAATATTTTTTGATAAAATACATTCTATATTAATGCTCATTCACATTTATTACATGTAAATTAAATTTTCTATGTATAAAATTCCAGTTTATTCTCAGTGCTGCCTGGTCATGCTTCAGTTCAGCAGCAGAGCTCAACACATTCAGCTCCTAGCAAAGTGAGAGGAAATGAGAGCACTCAGCTTTCTACAGGACCAAGCCTCACACATCCCCTGGTCCTGCAGGTCCTGCCTGAACAAAATCTCGCTGGCTTCAGTAGGAGTTTTGCAGCGGAGAGCACTACAGAAGGGCTGGCTGTCCAGCACTTGCAGTTTGTGTGGAAGTCACTCAAATGGCACATGACATTCAAAAGAAAAAGTGAGTTAGTGAATACAGAAAATAATAATAACATATTTACATAATTTACAGTGTTGTTTGCTTGCAACTGTATTAATGCTCAACCACTCATTCAATCAGTATGTAAGGAAAGGTAGCAGAGTGCAGACACATTACAACCTCCTGCATGCAATTACAAGCACTGGATTTTAGTCTTTCCTCATTTCATGAATTCCTACCTATCCTGCTGTCGACAGTGCCCAATTCCCACTGAGCCTTGTGGAGTCAATTCCTCACAGCATTTAGGCCAACCCAATCTCTGCCACAGGCCCCTGACACTGTGCAAGGCACATTTAGCAGCAAGTTCTCAGCTACTACCCATGTCCACCCTGCACCCTCCCCTCTGCTGTGCCAGCACTCTGTGCAGTCACACGCTGCACAGCTGGAAGCCTGCCTGTCTGTAAAAGGCAGAGGGTGGTGTCCCAGTCAGGCCAGGCTCGCAGCCCAGCTCACTGTGCAGGTGTGCGTGGGGTGCCTGCACCTGCACATTGGTGCCAGACACCTGTCCCTCAAACAAATGGATGAAGTGCTCAGCAAGCCTGAACAGCAGGACTTTGCCTCTAGCTTGCACAACTATAAATTGCTCACTTGCATTACACTAGAGCAGAGGAAAGTCAGCCCCATAAGATCTACTTGTGTGAGCCATAACTCAAGGGTTGTATGCTATGAAGAGAGGTTCTTCCAAAGGAAGGCTCTGTTTAAGGTTGTAGCATCTGTCCTAGCTGGAGAGGAAATAAAAATTTAGGGGCTTAAAGCAGAGGTGGAAACCACTGGTCTTACACTTTATTTCAGTAAGCAAAAAGCCTATTGCTGCTATACAGTGTTATACAGTGAACTGCCACAGTTCTCACATCACTAGTCCATAGAAAAGGTGCTGCAACTACCATGTCTATGCCTGCAGAATGTACAAAGTTGCATTAAGCTCTGGTTTTCTTCCACTTTTTTTTTTTTTTAATATTCTTAAACTCTGACTTTTATAGTGTTGCAGACACTTCTGTGCAGACTCAGGTAACACATATCATCCCAGTTATGGAAGATCTTTGCTTCCAATTGAAAAAATCATGTGCTATGCATCTCTCAAACCACCATCATAAATGTAAACTTGCTGTCTTTAGTAACCCTGGAAAAACAGTCTTTAAAAAATCCATTGAAAAGGAGACATCGTTAACAACAGGGTTTTCAAAATGATGTGAGTTATTTATAGGAATTGTCCAAGCATTTTCTCTTCGATCACTCTTTGTTTTTATAAAGCGAATTCTGTATAAAAGGGCTTTTGAAGTGTGTGACCTCTGTTTTACAATTTTTAAAAAATTGGAAAAAAGGAGTAAATTTAGAAATATTGTTTTTGATTGTGGAAAACAGCTGTATTACAACAGAATTACCTTTGCTTCTTATATTTTCAGTACAAAAGGCAAGTAAATAAAGAGACCCTGCATCTTCACAGTCTGGCACTCATCCAAGTTACTTGGAACTAGGTAAAACAGGTAAAAAATATGAGGGGTCATCTTCTCCTTCATACGAAAACCCTTGCCAAACCCCTTGGGGAGCAGGTTCCCTGATAAGTAAAACATCACTAAATTTTATATCAGCTGAAGCAGTATTTTAGCTCCCCTCCAATAAGGTGTACATGCCCAGACTAGCTCAAAGGCCCAGGAAGAGGTCTGGCATAATTTTAAGAGCCAGGTGTTGGTTGATACCCTTATGGCTTCAGTGTTAAGTTGCATTTAAGTTGCACTCAAGGAAGATCCTGGAAACTACAGGCCTGTCAGTCTCATTCAGTGCCCAGTAAAATAATGGAAAATATTATTCTGGAAGGTATATAAAAACACCTGGAGTACAGTGCAGTCACTGGTCACAGCCAGCATGGCTTCATGAAGGCAAAGTCCTGCTTGTCGAACCTGACTTTATAACAAGGTAATCCACCCAGCTGATCAAGGGAACCAAGATGATGTCATATATTTGGAGTTCAGTAAAGCTTTTGATACTGCATCAAAAGTATCCTTCTGACCAAAATGTCCACCACACAGCTGGATAAACATGCCATGGGATGGGTGAGCAACTGGTTCACAGGCTGGGCACAAAGGGTTACAGCGAATGAAGTGACATCAGGCTGGTGATCTGTCACCAGTGAGGCTCTGCAGCGTTCCATCCCTGGCCCTGTGCTCTTCAACATCTCATTAGGAACCAGGATGCAGGACTTAAAGGAATACTAAGTAAGTTTGCTGATGACACTAAACTGGGAGAAGATGACAACTCTCTTGAGGGCAGAGAGGCCCTACAGAGAGACCTCGACAAATTAGAGAGATGGGCAATCACCAACTGTGTGAAGTTTAACAGGGTCAAGCGCTGGGTTCTGCACCTGGGACAGGGCAACCCTGGTTGTATGTAAAGACCAGGGAACGAGAGGCTGGAGAGCAGTGCTGTGGAAAGGGACCTGGGCGTCCTGGTTGATGGTAAGTTGAATGTGAGTCAGCAGTGCCCTGGCAGCCAGGAGGGCCAAGTGTGTCCTGGGGTGCATCAGGGACAGCATCACCAGCCGGGCAAGGGAGGGGATTGTCCTGCTCTGCTTTGCACTGGGGCAGCCTCACCTCAAGTTCTGGGGGCAGTTTTGGAAGCCACAGTGTAAAGAAGACATTTAACTATTAGAGAGTGTCCAGAAGAAGGCAACAAGGATGATGAAGGGTCTGGAGGGGAAGCCTGGTGAGGAGTGGCTGAGGTCACTTGGTTTGTTCAGCCTGGAGGAGATTGAGGGGAGACCTCATTGTGGTCTTCAGCATTCTCAGGAGGGGAAGAGGAGGGACAGCTACAGATCTCTTCTCTCTCATGACCAGTGACAGGACCCAAGAGAATGGTCTGAAGCTGTCAGGGGAGGTTTAAGCTGGATATCAGGAAAGGTTCCTCACCCAGAGGGTGGTAGGGCACTGGAACAGGCTCCCCAGGGAAGTGGTCACAGCACAAACCTGACAGAGTTCAAGAAACATTTGGACAACACTCTCAGGCACATGGTGTGACTCTTAGGGTGCCCTGCGCAGGGCCAGGAGTTGGACTCAAGGATCCTAATGGGAACCTTCCAACTCAGCATATTCAATGATTCCATGATTCTAATGCACAATGCCACGAGGTTTGAGTAATAACTGGGCAGTGTATCAAAACCAGCAAGGTTTAAAGTTAGTTGTCATACAGAAGAGGGATAAGCAACGGCTATTTTTTGCTTGATTTGTAAGTAAGCAGCACTTGCCTTTGGATCACATGGTGTCAAAGTACCAGGGCTGGTTATCATGCGTGCTGCTGGTGCCTGTTACTCCCAGTTATTAATTCAGCACTGGGAAACTCAGGTGAAATGACATCAATATGTCTGACACCCCCTGGATTTTTTACTTCCCATTATTTTCATTAGGCCTTCATATGCACTTCTGCAGCACCAACCACTACTAAACTACTGTTTTTCAGGAGAAGTCTCTCCACATTTGGTACTTTGTCAAAAACGTATAGCTGTTGAACTAAAAAGAAAAGCGCAGGTGGTGTTTGCTCTCTGCACTGGTTTCCTTGGAAAGGTCACGGGTGAGGACTCAGCACTCCCCCCACACACCTCCTACATTCTCAGTACTCTACATTCCTGTCAGCAAACACTACTCTCGAACACAAATCGAAGAGACAAGTCAGCGACAAAACTACTTCTAGACTGATAACGGCAGAATGCTACCAAGACAATTCCATAGAAAACCCACTGAAGCAGGAGCAAAATTCAGGTCACTTCTTAGCAAAGCTCATCATGGATTATTATTTTTTTTAAAACCATTTTTTGTAAAACTTTTATCTTGGCAGCCAGATATCCCCTTGTGATGTGCTAATTCAAACAGGCTAACATGGGACCACCTGACCCCACCTGGTACCAAAGGCTTCAAAATTTTTTATAGCTCCTCAGAAAATCACTGCTGACTGACACCCATCTGTTGGTGATCGGCTTCTGGCTCCTCTTCTTCCACATCTGCGTTATATTCTTCAAATGCATCATCATCAACATCTGGAAGCCCAAGTAACTACAAAGAAGAGAAAATACTGTGTAACAGTGAATTACCCATTTGTGCAGCTTTGCTGCATATCTTCACACAAATCCTACGTGCACTTCTTAAAAAGCTCAAACCCTGGAATAACAGTACTGCATAATGATCTTGACTCTCTTTGTCTCCCTCCTGGGATAAAGATTTGAAAACGCATCCTCACACCAAATTAAGCACTCAGAGACCGGAAGATAAATAAAACCAAAGCAAAGCACTTGCAAAAAGCTTCACATTCTTCCCTGAGGTCACATTATGAATTGTTGAGTGTTTAGACTTGGCAGTGGTTTAACTTCAGAAAGAACCATGATAATACTGTAGCAGTAGTTGTCTTGGTTTAAGTTTGTTTTTTGTCAGCCCTATAAAATCAAAGAAGCAAACATCCTCACGAAATACTGGCTAGTGTGGAATAGGCAAGGAATCCCTAAAAACCCAAAGACCCGCCATGTCAAATGCTCTTCTTGAAGCCTTCACTCCATCACACCAGATAAAGTCTTGCCTGCTGTGTGAAGCCATTGCAGTAAGAATTACTGTATATTCCACTGAAATAAGAAGTTCCTTTAAACTTCTGTAAATTAGATTTGGGCTTGCAAGGAACTGCCAGTTCATCTTCCTTGGACAATGTTTGGATACCTCCACCTGATGGCTCCGACCACTGCAACTTCACCTCTTCAGTACAGGAAAAGGAGCAAACAGCCATGTTTGAACGCCTCACCTCTCCCCCAAAAGGCTGCCATGCCAAGAGAAGTCAGGAAGACAGATAAACCAAATAACAGTCAAAATAATGCATCTGTTGTGGAAATCTCAGAGTCCTCCACTAGCAGCTATTAATAGCCACAAAGCAAAATCATAGGCCAGGCATTACTGAGAATACCATATATTTAGCTTGCAGGGCTGGAAGAGCAGCACAGATGCATGTTACACCCTCTTTGGAGAGTGATGCAGCTGTTAGCTCTTGAAAGAGGCAAAGCCCAGAAAAATCATGAGAAGAGTGACACTCTTTAGGTGAGAGCATGGAAATGGGAAGGCTGCAATGAGGCAGATTTTCAGGGACTTAAACTAATTCAGTCTGTGATCGACATTCAAAATTATTTAGTGGACATAAATACAAGGCATAGAATTAGCTTCTGGGTGCAATGAAGCTTGTATTCTTCACTGTCACTGGGAGAAAATTAGATTTTTAGTTACAGGCTTTCTTCAGCAGGGAAATGGAAGGAGAATTTGCTGACTAAATCCCCTCCTTCAAATTTTAAAAATACTTACAGAGAGACCCCAAATGGAAAATATTTTTGTTTTCTGAGTGGAACAAAATAATTGTTCCTCTGCATACATATTTCTCAAATCAAATGCTTAACTGAACATGAACGGTTCAGTTCATTTTCAGGATGCAGGGTTTTATTTCATGCTGAAGATAAAATTAAAATATTACGTTCTTAAAAGGCAAAATCAAGGACTCTTTCTAGATCTTCTTATACACCAGTATTATTTTTGATAAACTAATCTGGTATATTCAATTTAAATGTGAGTGTTGTACTCCTGTTTGTATCACCTGGTAGAAAGAGTTTTGTTTGTATTTTTTTCCCCCACCTCTGGTCATAATTCCTCTTTGATTTGTAAGGAAATGGGTCACATTAATCTTCATTTTATGGGATACTGTACTGCAAAATTAGTATGGAAAACACAACATGCAGCACAAGAACTCCAAACACATGCACAGTCTCCCAAAGGATGGGGAGTACATCCTGCTTTTCACACATCTCCTCTCTCTTCGCCATCAGGAAATCCAGCTCCTCATTCCCTGGAGCAGCTTGAATCAGAGAGAGCAGTGTAAAACAGAGTGATGCTGTAGACTTTAGTGGTTTTACAGCGGAAGAATGGGGGTGGGGTGGGGTGGGATGGGATGGGATGAGATTCTCCTCCATGGGAGATGCAGTTTTATTCTCTCACAGACACTTTATGACTCTCCAAGCCACCAAGGATTTCAACCATACAGGTCTTGCTTTTAGGTGTCATATCCTGTTGCTTCACACAGGATTAGGGTGGTCCCTCACAGCTGTTAACCCCTTACTACTCTCTGGACTGCAGTGACAAATCAGCCCACACCTTCAACACGTGAAGTGAGGATCAGTATCCAAAGAGCAGGGCGCTCTACAAACATAGGGACAAAACAGAAGGAGGGTATACAAAAGGTAAGGACAAAATAAGATGATGAAGATGCCCTGGGCTAATCTTAGCTTGACTCCCACCTTATCGTCTTTCCCACACACTAGTTTCTGCTTCTAGTCCATAGCTGCTATGTATTTTGAAGTATCAGCTATGCAGCAGACTTGAAAGGACTTAACTGCAGAGGAAAACAAGAAGAAAAGACGTAAAACAGAAAACTGCTATAGAAAGAGAGAGCTGATTCATCAGCAGAAAAGCCAAGGGGAAAAAAACTACCAGGCAGGGATGCATGGCTAGGAGGAGGTCCGGGCATGGTGAGGAGGGAAGGAGGGAGGATAACAACCAGCAGCATTGCCTGAACTACAGCTATTTATTTCTGCTGGCCAAACTACCTATCTGGAGGTAAAGGAGAGGTCACTGGGACATGCCTGGATACAGTGAATATGGAATAAAGGGTTTTTACATTGCAGACTCCCCACTTTAGATGTAGGCTTTCCAGGCTGAAGATGAGCTCAGCATAGGACCCCTGGAATCTGCTGCTGAATTGTATGACTCATGCCTTGGTTTCCTGCAAACTTTGCCAGTTGGTGTGATGTCCTTCAGGCATTTCTTATATTTGTCTTTCTTAACCCTTTCAAAGTGCCCTGATTTTACAAATAACCTCAGAGTTACTAACTCATGGAAGCAGAGTGACACTGTGTCCTACTAAAAGCTGGCACACAAACACACTGAAAAATAAACCATGTACAGGACTGAGCTTTAGCAATCTGTGTGATGCTACACTAGAGATAACACAGTTCTGTTGAATCCCTGTGGGAAGGACTATGTCTCCAGACAGATATGCTTGAAAGCACCAGCATGGGCACCTCCTAGCACCAGAGTATGGCACCTCTGACACCAGAAACACTAAAACACAGGTGGAGATGTTATGCTCTGAGGCAAATAACAGTATTTGAGCCCAGTGCTATTGGTTGCTATCATGTACCTTTGTGGTGTCTAGCACTTCTAGATGCTCCCTGAAGAAGTGGATAATAAGACAAATCATAAAGTTTTGTGGAAACCGACCAGGAAGGCAGTAAGGGGTACAGACAACATGCCCCTCACTACCTTCAATAAAGAAACACCTTGAGAAGTGTGGATAGTTGTTGCGGGCACACCGGCACTTTTTAAAAAGCCTATCTAATTAAATATCCTGCTTGGCACTGTGTTTAGGCACATAAAACATTAGGGGAGAGATGCCTGAGAGCAGTGAGGGACAGTGAGCAGACCTAGACCACCCCCATTGCCCCACGGAAGACTGGTGAACAGAGGGAATTCTCTGTTCTCACTGAGAGGGATGCCAGCTGCTGGGCATTCATATTCTCACTGTCTCCAAAACACAGGGCCCAGCAGCATGAGAAGGCAGTCCCTTCCCACTCCACAGCCCCAGGGCAAGGTCATGGAGACATGGCTGGGCTGTTACCGTGAATGTGCAGAGCAGGGCTGTGCTGAGTTACGGGAAAAAGTTGTTTTTGGAGCCCTCAGTTATGGGAAGGCAGATGCTCATGCTGTGCAAAATGGCATGGAAAGCTGCAGAAGCACTGCCACTGTTTTCTTCTAAATATTTCCCTTCAAAGGACCCCATCAAAGAAATTCAGAACTATCTAATAATGACAGATGTCTACGGGGAATACCAAAATGGAGAAGACTTTGAGAAGGTGCTTTACAGTGCTTAGAAAGCACCTGCTAAAAGCCTGGTCCCCAGTGTCCCAGAGCCCCCAGTGAAAGCCAGAGCTACCAGATACTTCAGAAAAGCCCAGCCTGACCTTCAGTTGCACTTTTTTCCTGAACTGCCATTTTTCACACTGGAGTTTGCCAGACTGGTCTCTGTCAGCTGATTTGCTGGGATAGAGGAGAAGAAATGCCCTGCAAATGCACTGTTGCCTTGAAACTGACAGCAAGGTGGTCTCATTAGTAAAATGGGTCCAGTTCAGAAAGGACAGGAGACAGTATGAAGTGATGCCAAGGAAATAATTTCCCAATCTCAGAGAAAAGTGGTTTTTGTTCAGATTTCTTCTGGGAAAGGCCTGAGGGTGCAAAATAACTGTTTCCATATATTTACTGTAACACCATTCAATTTTTAAAATGTTTCCTCCCATGTATGTGCTATTTTTAATAGTTACTCTGAGGAAAAAATGTCAATACATTCCTTAATTAAACTTGTCTACACACAGCCATACCTCAAATTATAAACTCAGTTTTGTTATGCTGATGCAAATCTCTCAATACTGGGTGAAAGGAGAATCTGAGAAACTTAATTATCTGTGGTACAACAATGAGAAAATGAAGAGGTACTTGATAACAGTCTGAAAGAGGTTTCTGGCAACTGAGGACACCATTTTTGAGCAAACAAAAGCAAAATGAAATTCAACAGCTAGGGAGAAAAACTAGAAAAATGCAGATTGTAAACAAAAGAGTTATTCAGAGCACCGTAACTAGCCATGAGAAGAAAAGTGCCCAGAATTGTTGTATCCTTTAAGTCACCTGAAGACTACATCAAGAGTGTGCGTCTTTGGAAAAGACACATTCTAGTTCAACGTCATTTTATATGGTCAGCTGTGGGAATCATGAGGTGAAATGTGATGTATTAATGAAGGGCTCAGGATAATGGTTCCCCTTGCTTTCAACCTTTTTACTATGAAGAGTAGCTCAACTTGGTTTGACTGAAGTCAATTTCTCAGTAACTTAAATTAGCTGGAATAAATGTGGTTTAAATGAAATACATAATCTGCACCAATTTAATTAAGTCTTTTTAAGTCCTCCTTAGTTAAACCAATGGAAGTTTCTCATCAAAGACACAGCTTCCCTGAGCAGAAGACAGCTATGAAGATCTTAGAGCCCAATATTGTTCCGGGAAACATACTTGTATTTTTTGCATGTTTTCACAATTACAAGCAGCTGTAGTGACAGATCAGATTTCCAGCCCTTTCTAAGAAAAGTCTGCATCTGTTCTATTTATTTCTAGCCTCTCAAAGGATTCTTTAAATGATGCTCTTTTATGTCGACCAGCTGTGGTGATCTGTGCAAGGGTGTGACACAGGGAGGGTCGGTGTTTTCATATTGGTGCTCCAGGCCCTCACTTTCACACTAAATACTTGGGATATATTTCCACTCTTCTCAATTAGTCAGCCAGAAAAAGACAGGAGGGGAAAGTTGAGTATAAAAACGTCCATTGGTGATCTTTCTCATGGACATGACAGGAGAATGGCTCTGGCAACAAACCTTCCCCTGCTTTGCACCAAGCCCTTAGCGAGCCCCAAAACATTCAAAAGGAGTATTTGGCAAAAATGAAGGACAACAGCCAGCCTAAGACACCTCACCCTGATGAAATCCTGGCTTTGGCACAAATCTTAGTGTGTCAAACTAGGATGGAGAAAGCTGAGTAGCAGCAAAGCAGAAAAATACGGGTCCCCTCGCCACAAAACCTGGCTTCTCTTCCAACTTCTTCTCAAGCAGTGACCAAACCAGTCACTAAAAAAAAAAACCAACCATAAAATAAAATAAACCACCCTGAGGAGAGACCGTACTTCCAGATTCCCAGAGGTTTACTCTTGCTGTTCAAATCCTTGCAAAACTCCCCAGTTCCAGTGCCAGGAAACAGCTTGCCACAAAGTCCCGCAGCGCTGACTTGTATCCTGTTCCTTGGACTCAGTGCTGCATCAGCAGGACACAAGCCACCGGCTGACACATCAACTGGCCTCCCATCCCACACGGGAATCTCATCCTCTCAAACACAGAGATGGAAATAAAAAGGCAGCTGACTTTCAAGAAACAATTTCCAATTGCCTGATGCTAGCTTATGTGCTAACACTCCTGTACCCAGGCAGCTAACTGGAGATGTAAATTTCTGGAGAAGAAAAACCAGCTTGCTCTACCCAGTACTGTCCTATTAAAAGTCACAGCTAACTATCAACGTTTAGAAGGGGAAAAAAGCACTTACGGGTCTGAAGGATTTGAAGACTTTTTCCAGTATTTCATGGAGTGTCTTCTTCCCACAGGAGGAGATGTAGTCCTGTGCGAGCTGCAGAAAAGGTAAGCAGTCCTCACTTTCGCTCCACACATGCTGAAAGCCAACAGCAACACAAGAAAGGAAAGGCATTAACAAGAATTCACGCCAACCTTTCCATGTGATTTTATAAGGTGACATGTTGTAAACATCTGCCAAAGTACACTGAGCCTCCTGCAGTTCAGACCTGCCCTGGGGACAGGCACTGCAGACTCTTTCAGAAGCCATGTTTCTGAGGAGGAACCTGGATTTTATTAACATGATGCATCACAAAACAGAGAAATTGATCCCAAAGCAGAAATGCCTCATGGTTGCACCAGCCATGAAGGGTACATGCACTTGGCGCACACATATTTTACCTATAAAGGTGCTTTTGTTTGACATCAGCCCTGCTCAGACCTGGAAGTCATGTTAGGTTTTCTCTTTTTCTGCATCATCTGCTGCAGTGAAGCCCTCAGGAAGAGCTGAAGCATCTCTTTGTCTTCTGGCGTTAGTGCAAATATAATGCAACCCTGGAGGTGGAATTTGATGTGTAATTCTCTCGATGATGCAGAAGAAAAGATGCAAAATCTGCCTGCAGGCTAGACACAGAGCCAAGGAGAGATGTTTGGGCACACACAGCATCCTGACACTGAGCCTCCTACCCTGTTTTGAGATTTACTCCTCCGGGAACACAATTTTCGCTTCCCAGGCAGGCACATTTAAACCCACTTGAGATCCTCCTGTCTTACTTCTGCTCTGGAGATGCTGGTTCCCCAGCCTTACACTCAAAGTCTCTCTCAAAACTGATGTTTACTCTGCTGCTAGGAGGTTGCTTCAAACAGAGCTGGCAAGCGATGGAGAGAGCACCCAGGCAACAATGCTTCCTGTGCCCAAGGGCGCAAGCTAATGCATCATCTTAAACACCTTCTGTTTGACACTTGGTGCATGGGACTGTCTTAGGCAGCCTGTCACACAGAGAAGTGCAATTCTGCCAAATTGGTTTGAGACTCTTGTACCTCTCTTTTTGCACAGCAGCTCTTTTCCCCAGAGTGCCTTTTTACTTGCTATAAACAGCAGGTTATACTTAAGGAAAGAGAAGGATTTCTCCAAAGTTAACTAACATTCAGGGTAAGAATCAAAACGACAGATGTTTCAATCCCTAGCATAAGACTTGCATGTTGCCTTCCTCTTCAGTGGTGAGTATCTGCCAGGGATGCAGTTTTGCACTTAACAAAAGAAAACAGTAATTAACATAACCTAAACTGCACCTTTAAGATAAAACCTGTAACTGCTTTGCTATGAACATCACTTGACCTGCATTTTCTTTGCTGCTTGTTGCACTTTACAAGCATAAACATAGTGAAATGTTTTGTTATGGAAAGAGCCCTGCATTACTGAGTAGGTTCTGCTCTTTCCATATAATCAGAGTCATGTCTTAATCATTCAGGCAATAAAAATAAGTTCTTTACAGTCTTGCCAACTCTCAAACACACATACCACAAGTCTCATGATACTTCATGCCATCTTAAGAGTCATGGGCCTTGTAATCCTATAAATATACAACTAAATCTCAGCTTCTGTTTACAAAAAAAAAAAAAAAAAAAAAAAAAAAAGGCATAACTTTGTGATTTCTGTGGCCTAAAAAGGCAGAACGTACATGAAGACAACTGAAACGTGCCCTCCTCAAAATATCAAATGAACACTTCCAAATCACATTTTAAAAACAGCCTTTGGAGGTTTTGGAGGTCTGGCCCATGATTTCTTCATACTTAGGGTTAGCAATAACTGTTTAGTAACTCCTAAACTTCAGAGCTGAATGTTGCAGCTTGGTAATTCCTGACTCGTGCCAAACCTGTTGCAATTGTTTATATATATAAAACAATTATGACTGCTAAGATCCTCATTCTTGTTTAAATTGCGGCTACTTCTGACTACCAGAGCTATACACAGGAGCTTCCACATAAATGAAAATCAGGCCCTGCCCTTTAATAAATCATTGCTGGTTTGTTCCCTAGGGCAAGTTAACCCCATGTTGTCCTAACGTGTTTCTACAATCTCTTTTCAAGCTGCACCACATTTAAGATACTCATGTGAATTCATCAGCAGTAGGCAGAGAAAGATGATCTAACACAAGGGGAAAACCTAAGAGAATAACCTGATCGCTGAGTTTTTCAGATTTTTTTGCACAGCAGCATATGACAAGTAACAAGTAACATCATATCAAGTAACAATTCCAAAATCTCCCCATCTGCAGAGGATTTAAAACGTCGACTGTAGCAACAAATGCACTACGAAAAGTTTCATGTATCATTAGTGCACACATCTCATTTGGAAATGAGTTGATTTAATCTTCTCCCTCAAAAACCTCAACCATAATAAAGAGCAGGGCTGTAATGCCTGTAGGTTTAGCTGCATATACAGCTCTCTGTGGTGGTTCAGTGCTGCACCCAGGCAGCGCAGGAACTCTCTGAGCACTGACTCACCCATCTCCAGAGGAACCTGCAAAAGGAATTTCGGCCTTTCAAAATAAAAACAAACGTAATTTCAGGATTCAACTCCTGCTTAGAAAGCTCAGTAAGGCTGCATATACAGAGATGCTTTTCCTGGAAAACCTGATGCCTGAGGATCTCTCTCCAGTGGGAGAAGGTGGGTGCTGGCAAACTCATGGACCACAGTGCATGGCTGTGGCTGTGCAATTAAACAAATATTAACCTCATCATCAGAGTATGTGTTTTCCAAGATTGCCCAGTTTTGCTCACAGTTTTGTAGTTTGTGTCACTACAAAAGCACACATCCACTAATTTCCACCTCAGCTGACCTAAGATCATGGTTGAATTCTTTAGTTCAGCATCTGCACAGAGCACATAGCTGAGGAAATCAATAGGGTTGCATCTGGAGGGGTTTGCTTTCCCTCGCGCCTTTAGATGACTCAGTATAGCTGGAAGACAGAATCACTTGCTGGCCCACCTTTTTCTAAGCAGCCCACTTGCTGTGCATGACAGTAAAACTTTTTATTTATGGGGATAATTTAAGTTGCATAAAATATTCAGACCTGCCGACTCTGTTCTGAAATATTTTCAGGAAATCTTGCAGCGAGATGGCATCATATTTTTATTTATTTTATCAGTTACTTTGAATAACATGGTGACAAAACAAATAACAGACTGTAAGGAATAGCGTCATAACACTCACTCTCCTTGATTATGGCTACACAAGTCCAATTAATTTCTCGAGAACCTCAGGATCATCAGGAGCTGAACAGTACGTTGTTCAGCTGTCTAAAATGCTGATTCCGAGTTTCAGTGTCCAGGTGGTACTGAAAATGCCAATAAGCATCTACATGGGTCTCCTGCATCTCTAGCATGTTAAAAGGCTAGCCTAAAGATATCTTCAGGAAATGAAAAGTATCAGATTGTTATGATCTGGGATCTCTGATGTTAGACAAAATTCAGTGGTTTTCTCACCCAGATTTCATCTTGGCAATTTTTCCAAGTGTTTCTCCTCTCCTCTTTCCTTTTAAGTTCATCATGCTCATCATTTCCTCCTTACAAGTGGGTTATCACGTAATTCTCTGGCACCTCCTACATAGCTTTTTAAGTCGCATCATTATGAAATGACGACGTAAAGACAGAACAAGAATACCAGGCATCAGATGCTTATTAAATGTGAGGCTCCTTTATAAGAGGCACAGGGTGCAAGAAGGCTGTGAAGTGTGTCACTGTGAATTCTGTTTATATTTACTCCCTTTCACACTTCACACTGTGTTAAAGGAGCCATGCAACAAGGCTTTACAGTGCAAATGATAATCAGTCCCTTGGCTTGTATTAAGTCTCCTTAAAATAAAATTTAGCCCGTGATTGCACACAGAAAGAAAAGTTATAATCTGGAACATTAAAAAAAAAAAAAAAAAAGGAAAGTGGCTGCAAAAAAACAAGATAATCAAGCTGGGAGCAGAAATTAAGTCCCACAGTGCACTAGAAGAAGGAAACAGGATGCTGGAGAATCTAGTCATTAGTGGGTCTTAATCATATTAAAGAAACACAATCTCTTTAAAGAAAAATAATTAAGAATGACAGCTATCTGTCTGTCTTAAAAGTATTAGCATTAGAAAAAGTGCTGCAACCAATAAGGCCAGAAAAGACAGAAGAAAACATCACTTCTAGTTTTCCACTGCTTATGTTCCAGATTTGACAGGAGTTGGCCCTTTGCTCCATTTTACTAGTGGTGATTCTGGGCAGGGAGTTCTTCCCACACCAACCCTGGAATGAAAATATTTAAAAAAAAAAACCAAAGGGAAAATGTGATTTCAAACATACACACAAAAAAAAAAAGGCCAGCATTGGAATAGGGTCTGAAGCTGCTTAAGATTTTTTTTGAAGTTGACTATACTTTGTATGAAAGAGTTCACTCAATTATTGAGCAGCGTATAAAGAAAAAAATAGATGTCTAAGAAAAATAAATGGACTTGGTGCTGCACTGGATTCATACATATTCCTGTTTAGGAGTGCAGCAGGCATGGCCCTTTCTGGGCACAGGTATCTCCAGAGAGCAATGAGCACTGGGGTCTGGCAGGCTCAGAGGTGCTGGGAAGACAGATGTGCAGAGCTATTCCCACAGAGGACTGAGAAAATCCACACCCTGAGATACCCCACTGCTACATCTGAAGGTCTCATGAATCCCTGGACAGATGCATAACTAAATTCCAGACAACTTCTTTCACAATTCAGCATGACCATCTACTCAACACAATAAATAAATGTCCTGCTCGCTGGGATCTGTGGTCCTGGAGAAGTCACTCCACTGCTCTTTGTTTCCATGGACCCATCTGTCAGATGGGCTCACTCTGCACTTACCTGTTGGAAAGGGAATTAACGAACATTTGTCAAGCAAGTGGAGGGATGAAACTTGCTCCGTGAATGAAAGAACCTACAACATTCCTACAATAATGGTGCTGGAAGCTGTTTTGTTAAAATAAGCAAAGCAAAATCCTTTCATTGAAGTTAACTGGCACTTGGCAGCTTACAAACCCCGGGGCGAGGTGCTGCTTTTCCGTGACACTTCCTGCACTTGTGCTCACCACCGGGAGGGTCGGGCCGAGGGTCAGAGCACCCCGCCGACCCTTCTCAAAGACAGGGGTTGTGGTGCCGGAGCCTTTTCCGCACAAACTCGGCGCTGCACTCCGTGAGGGGCGGCGGGGCGGGGGCGCCCGGCCGGCACCACCTGCACGGATCCCGCGGTGGCCCCGGGGAGCGGCGGGGGGGGGGCGCGGCCCTCCTGTCATCCTGACTCCATTTTATTCCTGCCCATTCTCCATTTGCCGTGACAGCCCTGCCAGTCCTCCCGTCCCCGCGCCGTGCCCCAGCCCCGGCACCCCGGGAGGATGGAGGGGCCGCGGGGGGAAGCGGCAGCTGCAAGCCCGCGGGGCGCGGGGCAGGGCGGGGGGCCCGCACCGCTCCCCCCACCCGCCCGGAGCCCGCAGCCACCCCGGGCCGGGCGATGGGGAAGGGGGGGTGCGGTGTCCCTGCCCGCGGGGCCGCCCCCCACCGGCAGCGGACTCCATTTTGCAGACCGTGGGAGGATCCCCCCGGCCCCGCCGCCCTCCATCACCGCATCACTCCCTCCCGGCCACGGCCCCGTCCTCCGCCCCCCCGGCGCTCCCCCTCGGATGCTCCCGCCGGGCTCCGGGAATCCGCACGGACGGAGAGTCCCGGAGCGGCGCCGGGGCTCCCCGCCCCTACACGCACAGGCGGGGAGGGTGCCCCGCACTCCCGTCACCCCCGATCCCCTCACGGGGCACTCACGAAATTGTCGCCGCAGGCGGCCTCCGGGCAGAGCACGTAGAAGGAGACACCGGGTTCGGCGTAGAAGTCCATGCGCCGCTCCGTTTCCTCGGCGGCGATGAGCTGGAAGGGCGTGCGGGCGCACCATCGCTCCGCCGCCTCCGCCAGCGCCTCGAAAGCCATCGCCGACCCCTCCGCCGCCGCCGCCGCCGCCGCCGCCGCCGCCTCCCGCCCGCGTCCCCCGCGCTGCCCGGGCCTCGCGCCGCCCCGCGCCCGCCCCGCGCGCCGCCCCTCCCGCCCCCCGCGCCGCGCCTCGCGACCCGCGCGCGGCTCCCGGCACCGGCCCCGCCGGGATCCGCCGCACACAATTGACTCGAAGCCTTCTGGCAACTTGGGGCACAGGGGAAAGAAGAAGAAGAAAAAAAGAAAGCCCCACGCATGAAGGCGCTGTCGGCGAGACCGTGCCTCGCCTGGCCGCTTCTCATCCCTCTTCCCCGAACTGGCATCCCTCTTCCCTGAACTGGGCCGGAATCTCGGCAGCGCCCATTGTGCTGGGCACACGGGTACCCCCTGCACTGGGTTCCGTGGGAGCCACCCACGTGTGGGCTGTTGGGCTGTGCAAATGCAGGCAGAATCACTCCGTGACATTGGAAAGCTTTAGGGAGGTTCCTCCTGACCCATTGTCCTGTTACCGTGGATCTGTGGGTTTACAGTGAGGCTCACATTACTCTTCCAAGTTTATGCCAAGGGATTATCTATATGTCCAGCCAAAGCAAAGGAGATATCAGAGCAGATCTGCATTTATACAGGGCGTTAGATTTGCATTGGCATGCACTGCGCTGCAAAGGAAAACAAATCCTCACAGGCTTGTGTGAGTTTTCAGCAGGAAGCCCAGGAATTCATAGAGGTGAATAGGAAGCACAGAGCCCATATGTGGCAGTGGACAGAAAAGTTTGCATGGACAGAGGGAACATTGGTCTCTGAAAGAGCCCAGTGGCTGTTTCTGGTCTCCTGAGTGGTGTTCCACTGCATTCCCATGGCAGGTACCAAAAGCCCAGCTGACTGGATCGGTGTCACACATTGACCACTCCCATCAGATGTATCAGTCAGTGCATAAATCATTCGATGCACTGGCGAGGTCACTAGAGGTCTTTTCCAACATTAATGACCCTGGAGTTGGCTTGGTTACAGCATGGTGACAGTAACAATTCCATTATTCCAAACTGCGGAGGGAATGTGACTGAGCAGGGCAGCACCAGCAAAGCTGTGGCAAGGACACATTCCCACTGCCTCCGGCTGAGCTGGGGCACGCTCTGAGCACCCACACTGCCGTGCTCAGCCCCACGGTCTCTGTCTGCTGCCACTGGCTTGTCACAGATGTGGGCGTGGGTGCAACAGACCTCGGTGCTGATGATACCACAGAGAAAATCCTCCACTGGCATTGCAGCCGACCACTGAGGTATCAGGAAATGCCAACAACATGACTGCTTGTGCAACTGTAACTCAGCTCCTTTATGCATGGTGGGATGGGAGTACTTGCTGGTTTTTTCCACCAAAAGATTTTTTTCATTTATTCTGCACAAATATTTTGGATAATGCCCTCATTCCTGGGGTGCTTAGAGTGGCAAGTGTTGAACACTCCTCGTTACACTTAGAGCTGTGCTCTGAATGTGCAAAACATGGTAAAAATTACCAGTGTTCCAAAACTCCTGGTCTAGGTGCCTCAAATTTCAGAACCTGGGTGTGCTCTTGTAGGTACTTATCCTGATCCTGGCAAATGAGGCAACATCAGTCTCCTACCTACTGCATAAGTCTGAGGAGGTGAGTGCAGTAATACCTGCAAAACACTCACTCTGTGGGGTACCTGTGGAAGACCTATGGCTCTGCAGGCACCCCAGGGCTGGAGCAGTGAGTCCTGAATAGCTGGAATGGAAGTCCTAAACCTCTTGCCACTTCCTGAAGGAGCCAGGGGTCCTGCAGAAAACCAAATGTTACTGCAGGTTGTTGGGGTTCCAGGTATTAGCACAGCTGTGACTCCCATACAGGACTTCTCAACTTTAATACTCTCTCATCATTGGGTATTTGGTGTTTTCCTTTACAAATACATTTAAGTAGTTAGCATGAAAATAGGACATGGAAAAATCTTTTCTCCTAGTATGTGACATTTACAGCTTGCCTGCAACCAGTGGGCAGGGAGCCACACTTGGGCAGATATCTCCCCTGCCACAGGGCTCAGCCACCAAGGTCAATCCCAATCCCACTGTCCCTTTGTGCTTCCCAGAGTTCCGGCTTTGTTTCCTATTCTCCCCAAAGACCATGCTGGCTTTGGGTGAGGACATGGTGGTGGGAGTGGAGCCTTGGCCTTTCCTGTCACTGTTGGAGCCATTGGGTTTGGGGCCTACCAATGTGGGCAGCCAGGCACTGTGTCCTCCTGTCCAGCAGCACCCTGGCCCATAGCAGCAAGGGGAAGTCAAGGCTGTGTTGTTAACAGGCACAGTTTCAAATAAATGGGTCTCAGTGTTAATACCTATGATTTATGTGCATTTTCAAAGCCCCACATGAACACCTTTTTAGTCCTTAAAACATCACTTTGAAGTATGTGGTGTTTGTTAGCTCCCTTCTGTGGAGTAGGGAAGCTGACAGGTTTCAAACGAGATTTTAAATATCTTATTGCAGCATGCACTGCAAAATCCTTTGTGACATTTGAGGGCGCAGCCATTCAAATCAGACAGATGTGATTATGTGTTTATTTACATATGATGAGTCTCTTTGCTCTAACAGCTCTACCCCAAAAGCAGATTATAAAACCAGACTGGTAAAGGATAGTGATTTTGGCAATGCAGAAGTGCTGCTTGCAGAGCAAGCCAGGCTCAGTGGCTCTGACCGTTGTACTGATGCAGGGGCTGAGGGATGGACATGTGGATGTGAGGCAGATGCAATGCTCACAACACCCTTAAGCCTCTCTGCAAGTCAAAATCAGAAGTACCTGCTGCTTCTTTTCCAAGATGCGATGGCCAACAGTGCTGTACAATGCCTGAGCTTATCTGGAACAGTATATACTGAAATCACACACATGGTTTTTCTTCCTACTTGCTTCAAATACCCATGAGCATCCATGCTCCAAAGCATGGCTACATAAGGAGAGCAAGTAACTTCTCGGGAGAGAGGAGGGGGGTTAAGGAGCTGTCTGCTATGGCAAAGATGGTTTACAGAAGAGAAACCAGAGGGAAAGTAGTTTCCCCTATCCTGAGGGGATGCACTTCTGTTTCCATCTCCTTCTGGAACATAGCAGCTCTGATGCTTTCCGTTGCCCTGATCCAGGCCACAGAGAGGGCAGGGAAATGTTGCCAGATCATTTCAGAGGGATGCTAGTAGCCAGTAACTATGACCAGCCAGAAAAGGCATTTCACTTTGAAGAGCATATGGAGAGCCTTAGGAAGGGAGAGCACGTGCACTACCATAGCCATGTTAGTTGGAACAAAAATACAAATACCAGCATTTTTCAGATGACTTCTGGTTTTTGTATGTTCTACACCGCCACAGAAAATAGAGAGTCATGTGAGAGGGGAGTGTCAACATGAGGGCTGAATGGATAAACCTATTTTCTGCCTTTTACATGGATTGGAGGAGGTGTGGATGGGAAGGTTTTCAAAGTAGCTGGGCCCCAGGAGTTACTTTTACAAAAACCCTTACCTCTGCAATGCCTGGTGGCAAGTGTGGTCTAGAAGGCTAAGGAGGGGCAGAGTACCTTGCTAGGTGTTTTCTATTTCTCTGCTTCCCCAGGACACAATGACACTGGGAAAAGACATGTTAGGGAAGGCGAAGCAAGAAGCTGCGGAAGGTGGAGGAGCAGAAGGGTTTCTGAAATGTGTCAGACAAACACAACTTGCCTGCAGCTGTGGTGTCTCTCTGAAACACCGAGCCACTGTTCTCCTCTACAGTGGGTTAGAAATATGACAAATTCCACTCATGGACTGGCCATCTTCAAGATTTCTTTTTTGCTTTTTTTTCTGATGAAGTGCCCTCATTGGTCTGCTTTTGGTGAACTGCCAAGCGATTCACATTAATTCGCCTGACCAGCTGTAAGAACCCCATTGCCCTCCTGCAGCCCTCATTAAGCACCCTCCCTGCTGATCCAAATACAGAAAGGTCAGGAGGGTGAGCTCCAGTAAATTACAAGAGACACACCCTTAGCTGCTGTGCTGTGTCAGCTTGTTCTCTCGCATCTCCACACTGTATCCACAGCTTGGTCTCCTAAGGAAAGACTGGTTCCCTTCTTCCAGAAAACAAAAGCATCAAGAAATCCTAGGGGAAATAAAATAGGTGAGTGGGGTTGATCCCTTCATGGACAACCCCTCATAGGCCTTTATGCCACGGATCTTTATAAAGAAAATATTTCTTATTGTTATCCGTACTGGTTCATCACAACATGCTTTTCACACATCCAGAGTGTCCTTGACACTTGCACTTGCTTGAGAGAGGTGCTGGAAGAGCTGTCCCTGCAAAAGCCTGGTCTATGCAGGGCTTCCAGTGATGTTTGCACCCTTACAGCATTTCCCCTGAGCCTTTAACCCTATTACATGTCCTGCTGCAGCACAGCAGGAGGGTGTTGTTCCAAAGGCTCAAACTGAGTGACTGTTGGCCAACGCATCAGTTCTAGGCTGGAGTCCAGGAGCGACATGTTGGTATCTTGCAAATAGTTCCCACACCTTACTTCCCTGCTCCTGAAGATACTCAACTTTCCAGACAGCAGTCTGTGTTTATCTTGTCTCTAATGAGGAACACAGCTGTGGCTCTCCTCTTTGCTTTGGGTTCCTTTTCTTTTCTAATTCTTTTTAACCCAATTAAATGGAGTTGAGGAAATAGCAAGAAAACTTTGAGGAATCATCCAAGCCAAGAACATGTTGTAAAGGGATAGTGAGTTAGAAATGCACAGTTTCTCAATTAAATTAAAGCGTTAGTTAGAAATCTATATAGAATAAGGATCCTGATTCTATATAGAATAAAGGTCCTGCTGCTCCCACAAATCCTCCTTTTGAAGTCAATGGTTCAACATCCTATTGCTTTGGCAGTAAGAAATTAAACACATAAATAGTGATGAAGATCTGGGCTATGAAAAATCCACTTGCTTAATGAGCAGCTTTCCCTGAGGGCATTGCCAGCTCCAAAATATGAAATTAAATTTTAAAAAGGCATCAAACAACCCCTGCATCAGTCCTCTTCCTAGTCCCTGCTTTTTAGGAATAGGAAGTT